GTGTTTAAGTTTTTTTTTTTTTTTTTTTTTTTTGGCGGTGCGCGGGCCTCTCGCTGCTCTGGCCTCTCCCATTGTGGAGGACAGGCTCCGGATGCGCAGGCTCAGTGGCCATGGCTCACGGACCCAGCCGCTCCGTGGCATGTGGGATCCTCCCGGACCAGGGCACGAACTTGTGTCCCCTGCATCGGCAGGCGGACTCTCAACCCCTGCGCGACCAGGGAAGCCCACAATGATACATTTTTAAGGTTTTTGAGTGATATTGTCTTTCAGAAGATGGTATTAATTTATATTTCCACCAACACTATATATTTGTCAATCCTGTGTATTGTGTTCTTAAAACTTCTTGACAAAGATATACCTTGTTTCTAAAACATGTTTAATGTCTTTACTAGTATGAGCATTTAAAAAATGATAATTCTCCATTTGAATTTCTTCTTTCTTTTTAAAAAATATTTATTTATTAGTTTTGGCTGCATTGGGTCTTAGTTGAGGCATGTGGGATCTTCGTTGTGGCATGTGGGCTTCTCTCTAGTTGTGGTGTAGGGGCTCCAGAGTACGTGGGCTCTGTAGTTTGTGACACACCGGCTCTCTAGTTGAGGTGCTTGGGCTCAGTAGTTGAGGCACATAGGCTTAGTTGCCTCATGGCATGTGGGATCTTAGCTCCCCGACTAGGGATTGAACCTATGTCCCCTGCATTAGAAGGTGGATTCCTTACCACTGGACCACCAGGGAGGTCCCTGAATTTCTTCTATCATGCATGCCTGTTCATCCTTTTCTGCATTTCAGGTATTAGCGTTTTATAATATGTATTGATTTACAAGAGGTCTATATAGTAAGATCAACCTTTACCACATTTGTTAAAAACATTTTCTCCAATTTGTCATTTTCCCTTTTGGAGATATTTGATGTTTAAGTCTCGCATATTTATTAAAATATATATACTCATCCTGGCCTTTTGTTTCTTCCTATGCCTTAAGCTCTAGGCCTTCTCCTCTGAAATAACCTGCGTTTTCTTTTAGTTCTCTTGTGATTTTTTTTTTTTGCGGGGGGTGTTGATATTTCTTTGTAGTTCTTTGGGTTTGAAAAAGTTAAATTGTATGTTGGGACCCACCAAATGGAGGCTGCCCCAGTGGCCTGGCCTACATTACAAATCTAAACCTAAATCAGCCTGCACTTATGGGAAACACCTCGCTGTCTAGGAAACCTAACTACACCAATCACAGCCCTCCAGCTCAGTTAAAGCTGGCTCACCTTACCCTAGAAAACAGGACCTCCTAGCCAATCATGCCCTGTTTCCTCGTTGCCTCTTCTAATGCTCTATAAAACTCCCTTTTGCCCCAAATCCCTTGGGAAGAATGTTCCATTCAGAGGCACTGCACTCTCCCAATTCATGAATTGTTTTCCCTTAAATAAAGAACATCAAACTCATTACTAAATTGTTTTAGTTTTGTCATTTGACAAGTTCTTATATTTATTTTGATGATGCTTTAAATAAATCCCTAGTTTTACTCTTTTCTCCCAAGTTAACTAATTTCCCCTGCCCAATTTATTGAAGAATTTATCCTTTTCCCCTCAAAAGTGAAATGTCACATTTCTCACACAGTTAATTTTTAAGTATGTAGGATGTTTCTAAACTTTCAATTATTCCACTGATACTTATCCATCCATTCTTTTTTTGTTTTAATCCATCCATTCTTGTGTCGACACCACTGTTTGAATTATAGCTTTGCAATATGTTTTAAGATTTGGCAATATACAGATCTATACCCCATTTTTAAAATATAAAAATCTTAGCTTTTGCCATAGATATTCCTCCATTTGAGTGTTAGAAAAAGTGTCATCCCTCCCCCACCCCCATCTACCCACAATCGTTAGAATTTTATTGAGTTAATTTGAGTAAAGTTGATATTTTCACCTATTTCTATTTCTTCAAGCCTTTCTTATGTTTAACCTTTATAATTTCTTTATTAAGAGCCTGCACTTATTGTTTATTCTTAGATATTTTTCACTTTCACAGTAGTTTTTTTTTTTAACTAGATCCTTACTCTATCTACAATTTCCCCTTTCTTCTTTTGCCTTTAATATTTATTTATTTATTTTTGGCTGTGTTGGGTCTTCGTTTCTGTGCGAGGGCTTTCTCTAGTTGCGGCAAGCGGGGGCCACTCTTCATCGCGGTGCGCGGGGCTCTCACTATCCCAGCCTCTCTTGTTGCGGAGCACAGGCTCCAGACGCGCAGGCTCAGCAGTTGTGGCTCACGGGCCTAGTTGCTCCGCGGCATGTGGGATCCTCCCAGACCAGGGCTCGAACCCGTGTCCCCTGCATTGGCAGGCAGATTCTCAACCACTGCGCCACCAGGGAAGTCCCTCACAGTAGTTTTTTAAATTTTTTAATTTTTTATACTAAAACTTCTCTTTAAGCACCTATTGAAGCTTATCAAAACTGATTAAAAAATTTTTTTTCCAGGTGGGTACTTGGGTACCAGTCAGAAACCAAAGGCTCTTTAGTGGCAGCTATTTGTTTGTTTTATACTTGGCATGGCGATTATCCCTTTATATGAAGTATCTTATTTAATGATACAGTATCTCCAGCAGGTTGGTGCAATTTTTATTCCCAATTTACACATGAGGGTTACAAGCTTACAGAGTCTGAGGAACATGGCAAAAGTCACCCAGTTGCTAGCTGGATTTGAAACAGATCTGTGAACGTCCAGAAGAATCACAAAAACCAATCTTCTGTGCCATCAGAGGAGCTAATTAAAGGGCGTGCCTTTCCGAAAACAATCAACTCAATTAAAAAGACAATGCCTTCCATCCAGCGAGCCCTCCAAAAAGACTGGTTTTCTCCCAATGTAAGGCGTACAATTTATACCTTGCAGGAGCACAAAAAAATATCCGTTGATTTACTGAGCCTCCTTTAGAATCAGGGACTCGTGAATAATCAAGAGCGGATTTTCTGGCGATTTCGTGGGAACTGTCCGTTTGGAAATCCACCTCCCCATTGCAGGGCCGGTTAAAAATAAATAAATTAAAAAAAAAACAACCAGGTGGAACCGACGAAAGGTTGGCTAGAACAGCGCACGAGGGAGAGAGAACTTTCTGGGGGCATTCTGCCCGCGCCTTTCACGAGTGGCGCGCGCAGGTGGCGCCGCGGTCCCAGCGCTGCCCGCGTGAGTCCGCGGGGTGCCCAGGAGGCCACCCGGCGCCCACGCGAAGGTGAGAGGGAGCTTTCCACCGAGGCGGGGGAGGAGGGCTGACAGGAAACGCAGCCAGCGCCGGCGAAAGAAAGACTCCAGTTCCCAGCCCCCCGCCCCGCGGGGTGCGGGGGCCGGCGGCGCATGCGCAAGGCCCGGCCCCCAATTCCCCCGGCGAGGGAGGAAGGCCCCCGGCGGCCCCGAGGCTGCGAGCCGCGGCAGGACCCGAGCGCACGCAGGGGCGCGGCGGTGGCGGTGGCTAGCCGGGCTACGGAGGCGGCAGTCAAGAGCGTGGAGCGCCCAGCGCTAGGGCCCATCCGCGTGCAGGCACCCGAGGGCACAGCCAGCTCGGCCCTGGGCCAGGGGGGCCTGGCGCCCGCAGCCCCCCACGCCCGGAGAGGGATGCGTGAGTTTCGCCCCGGCTGGAGGGCAGGATGTGGGAGCAGGACAAAGGCTGGGCGGCGGGGGAGGAGTTGGGGACGGCGAGCCGGTGGCCGCTGCCTGAGCCCTGGCCTCTGGGGAGCTAGCGAAGTCGGCAACTTTCTCTGCAACTTTTGCAAAAGGGAAGATAAAAATTCTGCAAGTTGTTGCACAGCTCCAGGTCGCCTCAGGTCCCGCGAATAGAGGGGAGGGGGCACTGCAACCTTCCCGGGATGGGAGGCGACCGCCAGCTCCGCTGAGCGGGACAGGAGGGGGCGCCCGGCAGAGACCCCGGCCGAGGACGAGAGAGGATGGGATGCCGGGGGGCGCGCTGCGGCCGCTGAAGTTGCCCGTGTCCACACAGGGTGCGCCCTGAGAGCCCGGTAGCCTCGCGTCGCGGCGCTGTAGACTCGATGATGGATGAGCCGTGGTGGGAAGGGCGTGTCGCCTCGGACGTCCACTGCACCCTGCGCGAGAAGGTCAGTCCGTCCCTGCCCTTGTCACTCGCACGTCTGGGTATTTAAAGTCCCTTTCGCTCTCGACGCCGTATCCTCAGGTCGCCCTGCGTGGGAACTAGGAACTCCCGGTGCTTTTCTTTCCTCCTGCTATTAGTCTCCTCCTGGGACAGTCGTGAGAGACTGGAGAGCTTAAATTGGTTTTTCTGCATAGGAGCCCAGAGTTCTCAGACAACTAAACTGTACCCCTTAAGGTGGTATTTCCCATAGTACTGTCACCCGAGATTATTTTAAAGGGTACATGAATGAACTTAAAAAAAATAATCATCGTGTATTTACTTTAATGTGCGATTTAAAAACATATATATCGAGCAAGTTCTGCGTAGGCTAACTGATGATGATTTTCCATATATTGTAACGGTGTAGTTCCTTTTAAAATAAATTTAAGTAAAAGTAGTGACTTTACATAAAGAATAATTAGGTAAATGATAGTATAAGGCATACGTAGTTAATGCCCCCACCCCAAATATATCTAGGATGGGACTGAATAAGATTTAAGAGACACTAAAGTAGAAGCTACACAGCTCTATTTACAATAGCCAGGACATGGAAGCAACCTAATCGACAGATGAATGGATAAAGAAGACGTGGCACATATATACAATGGAATATTACTCAGCCATAAAAAGAAACGAAATTGAGTTATTTTTAGTGAGGTGGATGGACCTAGAGTCTGTCTTACAGAGTGAAGGAAGTCAGAAAGAGAAAAACAAATACCGTATGCTAATATGTATATATGGAATCTAAAAAAAAAGAAAAAAGAAAAAATGGTTCTGATGAACCTAGGGGCAGGACAGGATTAAAGACGCAGACATAGAGAATGGGCTTGAGGACATGGTGGGGAGGGGGAAGCTGGGGCGAAGAGATAGTAGCATCGACATATATACACTACCAGATGTAAAACAGATAGCTAGTGGGAAGCAGCCACATAGCACAGGGAGATCTGCTCGGTGCTTTGTGACCACCTAGAGGGGTGGGATAGGGAGGGCGGGAGGGAGACGCAAGAGGGAGGGGATATGGGGATATATGTATATGTATAGCTGATTCACTTTGTTACACAGCCGAAACTAACACACCACTGTAAAGCAATTATACTCCGATAAAGATGTTAAAAAAAATAATAATAAAATAAATAAATAAATAAAGGAGAGGCTACAAAACTAAGAGAATGTGGGGAGACAACAAACACTCCCCTGCCAGTTTGCCGCTGGTGGCAGAAGGTGGAGGCACCTGAAATGTGGTCTCTGCTTTTGCCTCACCTCAAAGGGAGAAGTGCTGATGGGCTCCGGGAAGGTGGAAGAGTCCAGGTGGGTTAGAGATGTGGCCTCTGTGTCTTGTCTCCTGCCCCTGGGCTGAGACTGGGAAGGGTGGTTTGGGGAACAGGTGTAAAATAAAGGTGTGTATTGGTTTCCTAGGGCTGCTGGGACAAAGTACCATAAACCTGGGGACTTACACAATAAAAATATGCTCTCTCACAGTTCTGGAGGCTAGAAGTCCAAAATCAAGGTGTTGGCAAGGCCGTGCTACTCCTTGGCATTCCTTGGCTCGTGAGGCATCACTGCCATCTCTGTCTCTGTTGTCACATGGTGTTCTATATGTATCTGTTTTCTCTCCTTATAAGGACACCTGTCATTGGAATAGGGGCTACTTTAATCCAGTGTGACCTCATCTTAATTTAACTAATTACATCTGAAAAGACCCTATTTCCAAATAAGACCACATTTTTAGGTTCTGGGTAGACATGAATTTTGGGGGGACACCATTCAACCTAGTACAGGGAGGGAGAGGTCTTCTTAGTGGATTAGCTGGCTCCCTACATAAACAGGTCTCATATCCAGTGCATTTGCACCCGATGTCTATGGAGTTCTGCTTAAAAAGTCACCAGCTATTCAGAGTTTTTTCCTCATCAGGGGATAGCTGTCTTCTAGTAAAATTATTTTTTCTTTTTTCCTGTACCTAGTCTATCTCCATCTTGCATTGCTTGTCCGGGCTGTGGCTTTCCTCTGCTTCCCTTGGTCTTCTTCCCAGAACAGAATGGCCCAAGGTGCAAGCACATTTTAGGCATCTGGAGAAAAAATCCAGGTCTTGGTGTTTCAATTAAAAAGCTGGGGCAGTGGGATGGTGGACCAGACAGTAAGGTCTTGGTCCTTTTCTGGAGGTGGTGGCTAAATAAATCAGTGAGGCCTGCTGTGGAAATTGGGCTTCCTTGTTCATCGTAGGCTCGAGTGGTTGTTAGTTCTGCTCATAGCTTAGGAGGGATGGCTTTGACCTCATTGGTCCTTTCTAGCAGGAAGGATTTCTGAGAGCAGTGTAAACTCAACCAGCTCAACTACCTGAGAATCCTCAACCTTTTGTATATAAGCAAGATTGTTCTAATCTCTCCTCCAGCCACTCAAAAGAGCAGGGCAGGCAGTTCCCCATTAACTGTGCCTCACCCATGCCATCATGCCGTATTGGTTCACTGTTGGGCTGCCTACCTTGAAGAAGGACGGGTTTGTCCAGGTTTTTCAGGTTAGAGATAGAAAACTCACTCGGATTGATACTCGGGGTCACCTGTGACTTGAAGCTGGTCTTATTAGGGTAAATCCTGGGTTTCTTTTTAATTGAAGTATAGTTGATTTACAATGTTGTGTTAGTTTCTGGTGTACAGGAAAGTGATTCAGTTATACATACATATTCTTTTTCATATTCTTTTCTGTTACGGTTTGTTACAAGATATTGAATATGTTTGCCTGTGCTATACTGTAGGACCTTGTTGTTTATCTATGCTATGGGTAATAGTTTGCATCTGCTAATTCCAAACTCCTAATTTATCCTTTCCCCACCCTCTTCCCCTTTTGGTAACCATAAGTTTGTTCTCTGTGTCTGTGAGTCTTTCTGTTTTGTAAATAAGTTCATTTGTATCATATTTTAGATTCCACATATAAGTGATGTATGGTATTTGTCTTTCTCTTTCTGACTTACTTCTTTTAGTATTATAATCTCTATGTTCATCCATGTTGCTGCAGATGACATTATTTCATTCTTTTTTATGGCCAAGTAGTATTCCATTGTATATATATCACATCTTCTTCATCCATTCATCTATTGATGGACATTTAGGTTGCTTCCTTGTCTTGGCTATTGTAAACAGTGCTGCTGTGAACATAGGGGTGCATGTGTCTTTTCTGTTCATTTCTTTTTTAAAAATTAATTAATTAATTAATTAATATTTTATTTTTGGCTACATTGGGTCTTCGTGGCTGCGCACGGGCTTTCTCTAGTTGCTGCAAGCGGGGCTACTCTTCGTTGCTGTGCACGGGCTTCTCGTTGTGGTGGCTTCTCTTGCTGAGGAGCATGGGCTCTAGGTGCACTGGCTTCAGTAGTTGTGGCTCATGGGCTCTAGAGTGCAGGCTCAGTAGTTGTGGCACATGGGCTTAGTTGCTCCATGGTGTGTGGGATCTTCCTGGACCAGGGATCAAACCCGTGTCCCTTGCATTGGCAGGCAGATTCTTAACCACTGAGCCACCAGGGAAGCCCTGCATGTATCTTTTCAAATTAGAATGTTCTCTGGATTTATGCCCAGGAGTGGGATTGCTCGATCATGTGGCAACTCTAGTTTAAGATTTTTGAGGAACCTCCATACTGTTCTCCATAGTGGCTGTACCAATTTACATTCCCACCAACAATGTAGGAGGGTTCCCTTTTCTCCACACTGGCTTTCCTTGCTTATAATGTCATACTCTTTGTTGAATGCTGCCAGATGAATACAAAGTGTGTTTCCATCTAGGCTGTTGAATTGTCATCATAGAACCAGGAGCAGTTATCCTCACTTGACTGGTGCAGGAAGCAATCCTGGGATGACAGAAATAGTGGGAGCCCCCACCCCCGCTTTGTCAGATATGAGATTCCAGTATAGTGTTATACTACAGTATATAAAATGTGACACTGGGGAAACAAACCTTGGTGTTGAATGCAAGCTACTAATGGCAGTGAAACCTTGAGCTGCTTATTTAGCCTCTCTAAACCTCTTTAAACCTGGCCCCCATTGTTCATTCTTCCCACAACAGGTAGAACTTAGATTGTGTCACTTCTCTGCTTAAAGACCTCTACCATCATCCCATTGCAGTTATAACTTCCAGTCCTCATCACCACCTCTGTTACCTGACACAGTCCAGCCCTGGCCTGCTCTCCTGCCTTGTCTCCTACCCCATACCATTCTGACCTCCTTTCTCTTCCTTGAATAAGTCAAGTTCCTTCATGCATCAGGGCCTTTGCATGGGCTGTTGTTCCCTCTATCTGGAATCTCCTTTTCTCTATAACTGTTCCTCTGTGTCCGTCAATCGAATCATCCTGTTTTGTTTTCTATATAGTGTTTAACGAGTATCTGGGATTATTTTCTGTTTGCTTATTATCTTTTCCCCCACACGAGAATGTACGTTCCACAAGAACAAGCCTGTGTTTGTCTTGTTCAGTGCGGGGCCGCAGTGTCCAGAACAGAGCCCCCCTCTGCAGAATGATGAGACAAGTGAATCTTCTTTAATTTCCTCTTCTGTAAACTGGGGGAAATGTTTTCTAGGAATGTTAGGATTCAGTGAGAGAACCTGAGAGCCGTGTGAGGCGCGTGGTGGCTACTTGACAGGTGCAGTGCTTTTCTGTGCTTTTCCACTTAACGACCACTCGGTGGGGAGGCCGACAGCCCCTTTTGTGACATGTGTGGTTAGGGTAAGGCTTGGAGTTTGTGACCACCCTCTCTGAGGGGTTCACAAGTGTGACAGGGTCTTCATAAGAAAGGCAGCATTGGACCTTTGGATGGTGTTGGGGCTGAGGCTGGGAAGGGCAGCGGTGGGCCAGAAGTCATGTACCTGCGGGGCGGTAGGACACAGGAACTAGCCCCCATCCGCAGGATCTTCTGCCCAGCCCCGGGAAGGCTTTCTGACTAGTGAATGGGAGGGTGGAACCTCTTCCCGCCCAAATTGCTATGG